ACTGACAGATGAAGTTCAATATAGGAAACTGTCATGTCAACCGTTTTGGAGGTTAAGAAAATTAGTTCAAACCATTTTCTAAATGATAAGAAGTTGAGAATGTAAATGAATAGAGAATTTCGGGCCCCAAGTACAATAACAATGTTAAAAATTGGAGGACAGCCACTCACACAAAAAGAACATGTTTTTTTGCCCCCCACCATTTCAAGGGGGCTGTAATACATAGAAATTGAAGTTACGCTGCAATTGCTCAGAGCTCTGGTTCGATAGCATCCGGAACATTGATTTCAGTTCTATGCACAATACCTCTGCCCTTTGTTCTTCTAGATGCTAGAAATTTCTGGTCTGGAAGGTACTGTTTGTTGAAAGATCCTTGGCAGTGCGCCTTGTGGTGTGTCTACTATTGTCATTGTATGTTGGTGATAGAGAAAGTGAATGTCGAAGATGGTTTGAAAGAGTGTCAATCAAACTGGCTGCTTTAACATGGATGGTATTGAACTTCTTGAGTTGAAGATGCACTCACTCGGATAAGTGGAGAGTATTCTACCACACTGTAGTCCTGTCCCTCAGAAACAGGAGATGGATTTTGAGGTGTAAGGAAGGTGCTTGGGTTTATTCTCAGTTCAATCAAGGAGTCCCAACCACATTTGTAACTTTGTTTTCATATTGCTCCTTGTCTTTTTTCCTTTATTCATTTATTTTATTGAATTCTGAATATTACCACCTCAAACATTAGTCTGGAAGTGATTTCCAGAGCTTCACAGCTCTGTTGAAAAACATTTATTCTGCCCTCTGTTCTAACTCTTTTACATTAATCTTGCATTTATGGTGAAGTAGTGTGCCTGGACCCTAGAAAAACTTTTGACAAAGTAACACATGGGACATTACTGGACTAGAATAAAGGCATGGAATTAAGATAAGGTGGTGAAAGAAAACCAGATGCTAGAGATTTGGTGAGAAAGGAGAAAAATGTAGTAGAAGTTTTCTAGAGTGATTGGATGTAGGTAATATGTTCTTGAATACACTCCATCCACTACAATTTTTCCATTCATCATATCTGAAAGTTTCTCACAGAATCCTTTGAGGTTTGTCATTCTTAAGAAGGATACTTCTACAAGGAGTCCATAAGAAATAGGAACAGGAGTGGGCCATTAAACTCCTTGAGTCTGCACCACCATTCAATAGATTGTAGCTATGTTCTTTTTATGTGGATATCTGGTAATCTCATGCCTACTGAAAATTTTCCACATCACAAATATTCAATTAACCAACCTGCTATAATTTGGATAAATTTAGTCTCTTAAATGAAAATGAGTACTCTCAAATACTGAAGCACATTCATACTCATCAATGCCCTTAATATATAATGTCCAGGGCCTCAGAAACTTTCTCCCTCTCCATTCTTAGGATCTTAGGATGTACCCCATTGGCCCCTGATGATTTGTCTTCCTTTAACCTAATTTACCTAAAATATTCCTTTACTTTATCATAATATCTATCACTTTTCACTCTCAACCACTTTAGGATTTCCCTTATCTCTCCTATACTTAACTACAATATTAGATGCAAGCTAATTGTTAAATGATTTTCCATAGTTAAATCATTACCAAAAATTGACAAGCCTCTCCTCTTAGAAATCCAATATTGCTGCTATCCTCATTTAAATCTGTTACTATTTCTATGTTGGCAGTTAGCAACACACTTGTCTCTGAGTCAGAAGAATGTGGGTTCAAGAACTACCCCAGAGAACAGAGCATGTAATGCAGACTGGCATTTTGGTGCTGCACTGAGGGAGTCGTGCACTGGTGGAAGTGCTGTCTTTTGCATAAGACATTAAATGAAGGCTTTGCCTGCAACTCCAATCCCCCAAAGAATACCACATCCCCACCAGATGTATGTAAAAGATTCAATAGCACTATTTGAAGAAAAGAAGCATAGCTCTTCCTGCTATCCTGGTCAATACATGCCCTTCAACCAATATCACTTAAAAAAAGTATACATTGCAACGACACAACTTAATATGTAAATAGTACCACTACCACAATAAAATATCCTAAGGCACTTCACAGGATGACAAGACAAACTGAGGTACATACTAAGTTAGATGACTAAAGGGAATGGTCATAGGTATAAGTTTTTAGGTCAGTCTTTAAAAGAGAAAAATGAGGTAGAAAGTTCAAGATGTTTCATGAAGGAATTCAAGATCTTAAGACTTGAACAACTGAAAGCAAAGCCACCAATAGTGACTAAAATCAAGGACCACTAGAGAGACCAGAATTAGGTAACACAGTGTGGAGCTGGAGGAACACAACAGGCCAGGCAGCATCAGAGGAGCAGGAAAGGGGATCCTCAATCCTCTTCTCTCTATTTATTTCTGAGCTCCCTTTCCCATCCCTATTTCTGAAGAAGGGTCCCGACCTGAAATGTCAACTTTCCTGCTCCTCCGATGATGCCTGGTCTGCTGTGCTCCTCCAGCTCCACACTATGTTATCTCTGACTCCAGCATCGGCAGTTCTTACTATCTCTGCAAGAATTGGGTAAGTTTCAATAACTCAAAGGGTTGTGGATATAGATGAGATTAGAAGTAAGGAGGTATAAGTAATGGAACTATTTAAAAATTGGGATGAAAATTTTAATACCAAGACATTGCTACACCTGGAGTCAATATAGGTCAGTAAACATGAATGATAGGTGAATAGGAACAAAGAACAAAGAACAATACAGCACAAGAATGTGTCCTTCAGCCCACCAAGCCTGTGCCAACACATGATGCTGTTTCTAAACTAAAAACCTTTTGTCACACACGATTCATATGTCTTTATTCCCTGCCTATTCATGTATCCATCAAGATGCCTCTTAAATGTTGCTATTATATCTGTTTCTACCACCTCCTCTGGCAGCACATTCATGGCATTTGCCATCTTCTGTGTAAAAAAACTTGCCTCTCACATCTTCTTTAATCTTTTCTACTTTTACCTTAAGTATATGTCCCCTAGTAATTGACATTTCTGCCCTGCGAATAAAGACTCTGATTATCCATTCTATCCATGCCACTCATAATTTTGTAAACCTTTATTTATCAGGTCATCCATCAGTGTCCAAAGTTCAGGTGATAACAAAGTAAGTTTGTCCAATCTCTCCTCAGAGCTAATGCCTTCCAAACAAGGCAACATCCTGGTAAACCTTTGCTGTACTTCCTCCAAAGCCTGGTAGTGTGGGGAACAAATGTGGCCTAACTAAAGTTCTATACAGCTGCAAAATAACTTGCTAATTTTTATACTCTATGCCCTGACTGATGATGGCAAGCATGCTATAAGCCTTCTTGACCACCTTATCCACTTGTGTTGTCACTTTCAGTGAACTGTGGACCTGTATGCCTAGATCCCTGAATATGTTAATGTTTCTAAGGGGTCTGCCATTTACAGTATACTTTCCTCCTACATTAGACCTTCCAAAATGCATCACCTTACATCTGTCAGGATTAAATTTCATCTGCATTTCTCTGCCCAAGTCTCCAGCCTATCTCTATCCTGCTGGATCCCCTGGCAATCCTCCTCACAATCTGCAGCTACCCCAACTTTTGCGCCATCCACACACTTACTACTCTTACCACCTACATTCTCCTCCAAATCATTTATTCATATATTACAAACAACGGGAGCCCTACACTACTTCTTGCCAAACACATCTCCAGTCAGAAAGACCTTCTGCTGATACTGTCTTCTCTGATTTGGTACAAGTTAAAACAAAGGCAGCAGAACCTTGGTGACTTCAAGTTTACAGAGGGTAAAAATGAGACTAGGCAGGAATGCATTGGAATGGTCAAATCCAGAGTTAACAGAGGCATAAGTATGGGTTTCAGCAGTAGGTGAGCTGTTACAAAGGTAGAAATAAATGACCTCAGTCAAGGCACTAATATATGATTGGAAGTGTACCCCAGGTCAAATTTGGAGCAGGGACAGAAAACAATGCTATCAGTCTTCCCAAAGAAGAGGACATTTCTGCTCATCCAGTCCTAAATGTGAGTTAAGCAGTCTTATCTCAGCAACATTGGAGAAATCAAGAGAGGTGGTGATGAGGTTTAGCAGGGTGTTGTCAGCATCCATGTGAAAAGTAATTCTGTTCCTTCAGATGAAGTTCATGAGGAGCAGCAGATGGATAAAAATGGCGACTGGGCGGTGCGGTGATGGGGGTTAAGAATATATCTTTGAGAGACACCAAATTGTCTGGTCGTTGTTTCATTCAGCTGCGGGAGCTTGCAGTGGGCAAATGCTACAAGTGGCCATACTTTTAAAGCCCTTCTCTGTCTGGAAAGTGCTTTCAGATGCACTGTGTGAAATGCGATATATAAATGCAAGTGCTTTAATTTTAATTTATTTTCCTCATTGCCACTTAGCATTTCTTATGCCACTTGTAACCTCTTATTTTCGCATCTTTTTTTCTAGACACTGCAACATTTCCTCAGTTTAGCGCAACAGTCAGCCTAGATTTTGTACTCGAGCTTCTGGATGGGGTTTAAACGTCTGAATATACTATGGACTAAGTCAATCTGACAAGTTATCTTCAAACCAGTTGCAGATAAAACAACACACAAATAGGACAAGATATCAACAGTGAGAAGATTTTAATAAAGTTAAGCAAAATAAAACATATTCCTCTCTGAAACATATTTTTGATTGTCACGGCTCGGTTATTTTGTTTGAAAACGTCTGTTTAGTGTTCGAAATCTTCAGTAACTTGTAGCTACTGTATTACATCGACAACTCGGCCCAACTCCAAGATTTGATTTTAACTTTCTCTCTTTCTTGTCATACAAGCATTCTCTGCAAACCCTTGATATTGCTCATCTAATTAAAGATGAAGTTTTTCCAGGTCGGGAATAACTGGGGTAAGGTTGGGTTTCCAAAATGCTAAAAATTCTATGAATCACACGCACATTGTGCAATGGAACTCCCAATATAAGAAGGACCGGCTCAACGGGAGCAGAGTGAAAAGTCGGGCGGTGAGCCAGTCAACAGGTAAGCAAACTCGGAGCCTGGGACTGGGGAGGGAGCCAGAGAGTCTCAATTGGAGACGGACTGTGGGCAGTTTGGTGTTGGGAAAGGGAAGTGAGGGTAGAGAGAAAGTGTTTTTTCAAAAGTTGTTCATGTTTATTTACATAAATAGAATTTACTCAAATCAACACATGATTCTTGTTCCAGAGTCCTACTGCACTTGCAGCTGTAATGAAACAGGTTCCTGCTCTATCAGTATTGTCACTGAGTTCAACTCCGCCCGGCACCAGCGCTGAGAAGGAGAATTTACATTAAAAATGCTGAAACTGCTTTTGATCACTTTTTTTCTCTCCCCCTGTGTTTGTACCTCTCATCTGTTTCCCTCGCTCCTCCCTTTTTGTCATATTTATGCTTTTTAGTCTCCTTTTCAAAACATGAGCTTTTTTTTCACATTTTCTCTTCAAATTCCCTCTCGCTTTTCTAACTTTCCGACTCACTCACTTTAACTCATTTTTGTTTATTTTCTTTCTAGCTTTTATCGCTCACTGCCTCATTCTCTTTCTGCTAAGATAGTTAGTTTCTCACACTGACCTCACTTTCTCTGTCATTCCATTGTTAATGTGCCTCATTCTATTTCATTCTCGTCTTCCATCTCATCTCTGTTACCCGTCCGTCACTGTGTCCTGCTCTATTCTTCTGCCACGCTTCGTCTTCTTTCTGTCTGTCTTCTTCCTCCATACCTCTCCCCCCCCCCCCCCCCCCCGGTACTGTTCCCCTTCAACGTGTCTCCCCAACACTCTACCTCGTTTTCTGTCTCTTGTTTCCCAATGAACCTTTCAATTTCTTGATCCTCCTGTTTCGGAAGATTGAGGGTGAAATACAGAGTGTGACTGTGAAGTGGGAATATTTCACTGACACACCTGACAAATCCTCAGGTGTCTAGGTGACCACAGTGAAGGGGTCATTGCATTCAGTGAAGTAGAGATCAGGTCGTCCCCCACCCCAATCCCATTTAATTTTAAGGTAGTGTTCCCCGGGTTATGTGATTCACTTCCCCACCCTTGGCCTCAGACTGGGCAATGTGATGTGTCCTGACCAGGCACGACTTTACTCTGAGGAACCATCAGGGAACTGCCCCGTGATGAGGGAGGCTTGAGGCATAGATTGGCGCTAAGATGGGGCAGTAGGTTGCGTGCGAAAGACAGAATTGTCTCTTTGAGGAACTGCACTCTCTTCAGGGACATGTTCTCTTCCCACCCACCATCCCACCCACATCCCCACCCCTCACCCCAGGTGAGGGAAGGACTTTGGCCAGTGCAGTAAGGGTTTGTGTAAGCATCTCCCCAATAATAGAGATAGTAGGAACTGCCGATGCTGGAGAATCTGAGCTAACAAGGTGTAGAGCTGGATGAACACAGCAGGCCAGGCAGCTTCAGAGGAGCAGGAAAGCTTTCCTGCTCCTCTGATGCTGCTTGGCCTGCTATGTTCATCCAGCTCTACACCTTGTTATCTCTCCAATAATATTCATGTTTCACTCCGGCAATGAATAAATAGCATACTTACCTGTGGATTCATTGTTCTAGATTCATCGTTCTTCTCCCGATTCACCCATCGTCTGACCAATTCTTCACCTCAAGCTCTCAGGATGAGGAACTTCGCCATGTCCACGTGGACCATTCTGTGTTTGTTGATGCCGCTGTGCTCAGGACGTCCCACCGCCACCGATAGACTGATCAGAGACACCCGCCTCCTGGCCCGGACTGTCATCAGCCGCATTCAGGAGGCCAACAATCAGGTATGGCAACATCTCCACTCTCCGAGCCACATCCTGCTGGACGGGGGAATGGGAAGTTTGGCACTGGGAGAGGAACACAGCGACTGGGATAGGGAGAAAAGTTGTGGGGCGCTGGTGAAACACACCCTACTAACGTGACAGCAGCACAGCTTTCAAAAAGTCCCAAATTTGCTGAGCGCTGGGTAGGCGGCACTCCATCTTCAGATTCATTTGTTTTTACGGCTGTCAGTAGGGGCAGGATTGTTGGCCAGGATACCGGATAAGTTCCCTGCTCTTCTATTAGCCCCGGGTGTTTATAACACCCGCCAGAACCAGTGCGATAGACAAGAGAAGCAGACCTGGGAAAAGAGGTAGAAGGAAATGAGCAGATAGGGAGTAGCAAATAGGAAACTTCAAAATCATGCTTCAAGTCACAGCGCCCGGCCATTCATCCAGGGATTCACTCAGGGATTTACCCAACCGTTTACCCATCAGTTCACTGGATGATTCAACCACCGATTTACGCAGCTGTTATCCCAGATATTACCCAGCTGTTCCCGCAGAGATTCGCCCAGCTCTTATCCCAGAGATTCACCCAGTTGTTATCCCAGATATTACCCAGATGTTATCCCAGATATTACCCAGCTGTTATCCCAGAGATTACCCAGCTGTTATCCCAGATATTCACCCAGCTGTTATCCCAGAGATTCACCCAGTTGTTATTCCAGAGATTCATCCAGCTGTTATCCCAGAGATTACCCAGTTGTTATTCCAGATATTCACCCAGCTGTTATCCCAGAGATTCACCCAGTTGTTATTCCAGAGATTCATCCAGCTGTTATCCCAGAGATTACCCAGTTGTTTACTCGGGGGCTGGCCCAAACGCTTACTCAGGGATTCACACAAATGTTTTACTCAGGGATTCACCCAGATTTTTACCCAGTCTTTCGCCCAGCTGTCCCCACAGAAATTCACCCAGATGCTTGCTCGAGGTGTCGTCCAAATACTTACCCAGGGATTCACCCAGATGTTTATCCAGGGATTCACCCAGATGTTTACTCAGTGATTCAACAAGTGATTCACCCTCGGATTCACCTAGGTTTCTCCTTTCCGTTCATTTTCAACGTGAATCACAAAAACGTCTGAACGGTAAGAGTTTCCTAACTGGGCAGAAAAGCTCCAGCAATATCGGTTCGAAAGATTAGTCGGGCGATCTTCAATGTTCCGGTTAGTGTATGTAAATCACATAAGTCAGCATCTTCAATAATTAAACCATCTTCTGTGGAAACCTCAATAAAGTAACAGATCATTCCGAGAAAACGAGAGAGATGGTGTAAGGAAGTTTTGCCCGAAGTTATTGAGGGAGAGTAACTGAAAGCGGAGGGAAAGTGAACACGGAGACAGGAGAGAAACATGAGAGAAGACAGGCTGCATTAACAAACGAGAAAAGAAGGAGTCGCAATTAGAAATATCTCATTGTCCATATCAAAGTACTCCCCATCCTGGGCAGTTACCGCTTTAATTACAAGTGCCTGTCAATTTCAGGTAAATCTTTCACTGAAACGATCTTGAAACAATATTCGTATATTTGATATGTGCAGGTAACTATCGGCTTAATCATTGAATTCCTGAATAGAGCCATTTCCGATTATAAAACAAACTTCAAAAGCACAGCCGAAACTCAGTCTGATTGACGAAACGAAAATTGCAAGCGACAGATGTTTTCAGAACGGATTAAACTATATAGTAACAGTTTAGGGTAGATTCAACCACGACACAACCGTATTGAGTAAAACAGAAATTTGAATAAATTTTTTATCACATTCAAACTTAAAAACAAAGGGGCAAAATTGGGAAAAGAAAGCAAAGATTCGATAGGAATCATAACGTGAAAAGGTAGAAAACAATTTAAACAGAGATGGGAGGTGAGTTATGGAGGTTTTATTGCTACGGAAGAAATTATCTTTCCTATAGAAATTGCGACTGCTAAGTCTAGATGCGAGGAATCCGCAAAGTGAGGAGATCACATACAGCACTGATTAACACGTTGATATATGATACAAGCTTTACCCGTTTAGTAAAGTCCTTTCTCTATGTATTCCAAACCGGTCAACTGCTCGTTAAAGTGACACAAACTAATTCACGAGGAGAGAACACCAAATCCTTCAATTTTTTGCCACATCCACCAGCCTGTAATTCCTGAGACAGAATCCCGAAGAACAGGAATGTCCTATTATGAGTTCTTCCCTGAGTTGGCTGGGGCAGCAGTGGGCTGCAGTTCCTGCGTTAGGATTAGTTGTCCCGCGCTTGTTTCTCTGTGCTAGGGAGGGGACACCTTACACTTGAGCAAAGCTTGCTGGCTCCTGCTCGGTTTGCAATTGTGGGAACGTTGCGATAAGAAAATTCAAAATTATGTTGGGAAGCTTCAGGTGGAAAGGTGAGCTGCTGGCCTTTGAACTTGATCTAAGTTCCACTGGAGCAGTGCACGGAGGCCCAGGCCAGGAGAGGAGTTGGATGAAGAATTAAAGTCACAACAGGTTAATTAATAATCTTGTTGTAGAAAGGACCTTGAGAGAACAGTGACCATACTATTATAAAATATTATATCAAGTTTGAAAAAGATGTGCTCAATCTGAAACTAGCGTCTAAAATATAAACAAGGGCAATTATGAAAGTATGAGGAGGAGGTTGAGGAGGACTATAGCAGGTTGGATCTTGATGGCAGAAAAGCAATGACTAATATTTAAAGAAATTGTGTTTGTTTTTCAAAAATGATATATTCCTTTAATGCAAAAATACAGAATGGGAAAAGCAAGATATTCATAGCTAACAACGGAAGTTAAAGATAGTGTCAGATCAGAAGACCAGACTCACAAAATTAACAAAAGAAATTGAAAGCCTGAGTATTGGGAAAATTTTACAATTCAGCAAAGGATAACCAAAAATTGATACTGAGAGAATGGAATATGGATGTAAAATAGAGAGAAATATAAAATTGTATTGTTAAAACTTCTATAGGTATGTAAAAAGGAAAATATTAGTGAAGACAAATCTGAGTTACCTTAACAGAGACAGGAAAATATATAATAGGAGATAGAGAAATGGCAAAGAAGCTAAATAGGTACTTTGTATCTATTTTCACAGAGGAAGACATAAGAAGTCTTCCTGAAATAATTACGACCCAAGGTTCTAGTGAAAATGTGGAACTAGAAGGAATTAGCATTGGTTAAAAAAAAGTTGTAAGGAGAAATTAATGGGCCTGAAATGTTTTACCTCATGTCCCAAGAATGTGTCCCCCACTCCTGAACTCACAAACCAGGAGAAACTTATACCCTGCATCTAGCCAGTCCAGCCTTGTCAGAACCTTATACATTTCAATCAGATTGCTTCTCATCCTAATAGTTGAAACAAGCTCTCCTCTTTGCAGAGTCCTACCATCCCTGGTGTTAACGTATTGAACCTTTGCTGCACAGGGAATTACAGATCTCTTAGCTTGAAATCAGTACGAGGGAAAATACTAAGCTTATAAAGGATGTTATTTCTCAATGTTTAGAAAAAGTGGTCTGTTTGTACAGAGTCAATGAAGATTTATGAAATGGGTATCATGTTTGACAAACCTGTTGCCGCAGTATGAAAACTTAAAACTTGCTGTATCAGTGTCATTTGTGATATTAACTCAAGTGCAACATTATGACAGCTTTTAACCTGGTAGATAGTTGATAGACAAGTAGATGCTTACATGATACTGGTAAATAGACAGCTTTGTAAATTGATGCTATTGATCGATAAAATCATGTCTGTTGTACATTTTACCCAGTTCAAACCAGCACCAAGCCTCGTTTTAAGTGGATTAGACCTGATTCCGGAGCCGCTCAAAGGGAATAACGTGGAGAACCTGGGTACTGTGGATGAGGCACTAGGCTGCTTCATTGAGAGTCTGGACACACTCCAGATGGATAACACTCTGCAGATCCAAACTGATGTGAAGAACCTCAAAGTCCTGGTTAGATCTTTGGCTACTTCATATGGCTGCTCCATCTCTAGATGTGAGAAGGCACATCGCCTGAAGAAGTTTCTCCAGAAGAATTCTGCTTTTGTTTTCACCATAAGACATGTGATTCTGGACAGGCTCCAAAAATACCTCAATAGGCTTCTCAGGACTTTGGACAACCCCAAGAGCTGCAGGGCTTCTTAATCTATGAATAGGTCCAATGGTTGCATAATAGAGGATTTGAGAAATGCATCAGCAACAGTGTGCATTAAAGAGACATGGCGCTTTCTTAGCTGCATGTAAATTAATACCACAATATTTAGCTGGCAATGGGAGTGTTATAATCGGATCAGAGTCCCTGGGTCAGGGTGGAAGAAATCAGCCAGGTCCTGATTGCTAGCTTGTGATTCATGCTGAAAAATATATCCATGTGAAGTTTAGGGTAAGGACACGATTGTGTCCCTCCTACACATCACCTAGACTTGTAGAGTAAATGAAGAATTCAGGGCCTAGTAGGAAATGAATCATGGATTACAGTTTTAAGATCTAGAGAGGACAATGTTGGAAGGGGACCAATTACCTGTACATCTACTCTCTGGAGATGGTTTTGTTGACATATGAGATCATCACTTGAGAACCAATAGAGAAGACTGTGTGACAGGTTGGCAACAGAGACAGGTCATATCTAAGGACTTTCAGAGCCATTGGATCTCAGAGATATGTTAATCTCCTTAAGCATATCTGAAAATATTTCTTACTTGATCAAAGTAGTCACCAAGCTAAAACATGAAGTTGCAGAACAGTGCAACATCCTGAATATATCAATTAGCATTCACGGAACTCACTTGAAAGTGCATCAACTCATATCAAAGTGTGCACCCTCTCATTGTTTAGAGATGATTTCACAGTGGATATGTTGCTAGTATTCAGGTAGTTGTATAATAGAATAACAGCTAAAATATAGAAACAGATGCATGTGTGTGTGTGTTTGAGAGAGAGAGAGAGAGAGAGTTGGGTATCTTTCTGTCTCCCTCTCCTCATACTAACCATTGTCACATCCACATGGCTTATAACAAAATGCAAATGTTGATTTATAGGCTTTTGAGCTGTAAGGGTATTAAAGGATATGGAAAGATGACTTCTAAATGGAGTGGAGGTGCAAAGCAGCTATGATCGAAGTGAAAGGAGGAACAGGCTCAAGGGGCACAATGACCTCTTCCTGTTCTTATATTTCCATTCTATAGATCAAGAGAACAGGATGATAATCTGCTCTTGTGCTCTGCCAATTTGTCTTGTGAAATTGCCAGTTGCAAAATTAGCAGAAACAGAGAATAGTTTGTTCAATCCATTGGTCACCACCTTCCATTGCCGGAAATCAAATGTGGAAATATGTTTGAATTGCATATACTCAGTTGATTCTGATTTGCCTACTTAGCCCTTGATTATAAACTTAAACTCATCCAAAACTCTGCTGCCTGAATCCAAGCTTACACCAAGACCTGTTCATCTATCACCCCTATGATTGCTGGCCCAGATTGACTCCCAATCTGGCAATGCCTCAACTTTAAAGTTTTCAGTCCAGTATTCAAATCCCTCCATAATTTCACCCTTCCTTATCTTTGTGATCATCTCCAGTGTTCCAACTATCTCAAATCTCTGCAGTTTTCCAGTTATGGTCATTCACACATTTTTTTCATCACTCCACCATTAGAGGATAAGCCTTCCTTTTCCATAAGCCTTCAGCTCTGGAATTCTTTCTCTAAACCTCTTTACTTTTTACTTCTCTCCTCCCTTAATTCAGCCTTAAGATCCACTCTTTACTAAGATTCTGGACACCTGCCCTAACATTTCCTTAGGTGTCTCGATGTCAAATTTTGTTACTTTGGGATATTTTTACTATGTTAATGACATGATACAGTCAAGACTTTTTTTATTGTTGATCTATGTAGAACTTTTACACCCTCAGGACATCTGAAAATGCTTCACTGCCAATGAAGTATTTTCAAATGTCATCACTGATGCAACGTACTATTTAGAAATATACCAGAGATTTCCTGTTAAATTGAAATTATGCAGCTATAGAAAGTGCATTGATGTCTCTTTAATGTTTGAAATACCAGGTTTGGTAACTTATTTATTTATTTATAGCAGGTAGACTTCATGGTAGAAACAATTTCACAGCAATACCCCCGTTTCTTTGTCAGAAAACCCTTTGGAATTATGCAGCCAGAGGAAATGCATTGATGGTTCTTGGTATTTCACGCACCAGTTTTGGTAACTTATTTATTTATTTACAGCAGGTAGACTTTACAAGATAGACAAGTTTTAGAAGCAATACCATTTCTTTGTCAGGAAATCCTTTTTCAAGGCAAAAACTAAATAGTGTTCCTACTTTTTACATCCACTGTTAGTCTCAAACATCAACTGATCAGGTCTAGAATGGCCTAAACTGCCCTACTAAACATTTCTGAGTTCTATTTTTGCAAGGTTTGATGTAAAACAAAGCTTCCTTTGCAGTCACGCAACCAAGTGCCTTAGTTCCATTCTTCATTAGCGTTGTTCATCACCAAGGATTGGAGACAAACAGCAACTCACTGCTGTGTCTAACATAGCAACACTGTCTCACAGTCTTAGCAGTGCTGTACATTTGAAGGCTTATTGGTGTGTGGAATTCTCCAATACAGATCAAGGTTGACTCCTAATGTTGTTCTGATAAAGTCCACATTTATTTGCAAGATTGGGAATCTAATACCAAAAATGATTATGTTGCTCTGACACCTGTGATTTCCCTTTTATTTTATTGCTTGCTCCCTGTTCACATTGTGCATTTGCTAAATGTGTACTGTGGACCTTTAGATGCATACATATTACCTAATTGAATTGAAACAGGATTTAAAAGACCAAGTGAACTGTGCTGCTTCTATATTGGGAAAAATGTAACTTATTTATAATAATGTAGATTTTAAGATTGATGCTTGTATTTCTAACTTATTAAAAATAAATGCACTACTTTAATATTTAAATATTGCTGTCTTTTTTATATATTTCATTTATGTCTACCATATTCAAATCACATTGAGGGGTCTTAAATCTTGTCCAAACCACAGAACACGGTGTGTTTTTTTCATTCTGATAATGTGACCCAGAAGTACCGGATTGCTATTGCATATCAAATCAGTTTTGTGCTAAAGTAGTTCATACAATTTTAAATAATTATAGAATGGTGGAATGAAAGAAACCATTTAGCATTAGCTCCTATGCCAATTTTTGATTGCCAATTATCTAATAAGTTGCAGTCCTCTGTTTGTTCTGCACAATCTTGTAAATCTCTCTTTTCATTTACAAATTCAATTTTCTTTCAAAACTTAAAATTGAATTTGCTCCATCACCTTTACCGGCAGTACATTTTAAATCACTACAACTGGTTGTGAAAAACAATTGTCTTCATCTTAGTCTGGCTCTTTTTCCAATTACCTTAGACCTTTGTTCACTGATTACTGACCTTCCAAAGAAAACTATTTGTCCTTATTTGATTAAAACCCTTCATAATTTTGAATACCTTTATTAAATGTCTCCTTAAACTTGTCTGCTCTCAAGAGAACAATCCAGAATTTCTAGCCTCTGCACATATTGACAAACATAAGTTAAAGATTACACATAGATACAGAGACTAAAGAACTAGTGGAAACGTCTTCTCCACATTCAGTCTAACCAGGCTCCTCAGCATTCTGTAAGTTTCAGTGAGATCACTGCCGCTCCCTCCCCCCCCCCCCCCCCCCCCCATCCTTTTAAACTCCATAAATGCTAGATGCAGAGTCCTCCACTGCTCCTCATATGACAAGCCCTTCATCCTTGGGATTATTCTTGTAAACCTCAGGAACCCCACCAAGGCTAGCGCATCCTTCCTTAGATACGGGGCCCATACTGCTCACAATATTCCAAATACAAATCGACCAGAGCCTTATACAGTCATAGAGTCATAGACCTCTACAGCATGGAAACAGAACCTTTGGTCCAACTTATCCATGCTGACCAGATATCCTAAATTAATCTAAGTCCATTTGCCAGCATTTGGCTCATATCCCTATAAACCCTTCCTATTCATATACCCATCCAGATGCCTTTTAAATTTTGTAATTGTACCAGCCTCTACTACTTCTTCTGGCAGCTCAATCCAT